AAATCTTGAGTCTTGATGCAATCTGATAGGCTGATTCAATCACCAACTTTCTTGATCTTGCAGACAAATGCTGCCTTTTCTTGTTTCTTGCACATATAATCGATTTCTGGATCAGGGTTTCTTGGGAAAATGAGCGACAATGGCAAGGAGAATGTGAGACCAATTTGTATTGATAGAGTGAAAAATGGCAACCGGGGACAAAAATTGAACAGGGGTTCGTTGAACCGAGGCTTTGGGGTAGAAAATTTTCCATATTGCAATAGAATTGGGAGAGAGAAAAGAAGGCTTTGAGATGAGAAGGTAACAGGATCTATGTTCGAAGCAAAAGGTGAAGAGAAAGATACCTGAGAAAATAAAAGAGACCGTTGTAGGTTTCCGCTTTTCTCAAGACTTGGGGATTTTGAAAATTTTGATTTACATTTTGTGAAATGTTTGAGGTAGAGCAAAATCAGCAGTAGGGTTTAATACATGGACATCATTTCTCTTGGGCCAAAGCCAAGATCGCTTAAATGAATGTCTTGTATTGGCTTATGTGGCAGTGGATTTCATTAGTCCAGTCCAGAGATTAATTTAAAAAGAAATGCTAATTTCAATGCCGATATACATGGGGCTTTTACTTGGCCGAATACGCTTAACGTTGCCAAGCCACTTTCAGAATTGTTGAAGCAATGAAATTCTTTCATGAACAAAGCGAGTATAACTGCGAAGGAGAGATAGACATATACTCTCTCCTTGTGACAAAGAGCGGCATAAGATGAGGACAGAGGACAGAAGATTCGTTATATAATAATATACTCTCTTTCTGTGATAAAAAGTGGTATAGAGAGTATGATAGAAGATCCCTTATAATATCATTGTATTTAAATTTGGCTTATTCAATTACTAATGGAATAAGCACAAATACTGTTTTTGCTTGAACATCTTGGTTCGAGTATAATTGTCTTTAGATTTGACTTGTTAAATTGTAGTATTCGTTTACGTTTATGTTCATGGATAGTATGAATAAATCATCTTTAAATTTTCCATTGTTATTTTCCACATCTGCTCAGCGTAAAGTACCTCCATTTGATTTGGTTTTGAACAAATACAAACTAAGGAAAGTGAAGTCATAAACTAATATTTGAGCTCTTGTGATTAGTGATTCACAATTAAGTAAATGGCCTTCCCAATTTTTGATCAATTTCTGGACTAGGACGCACAAAGGAAAAAGAAGTGCTCCTTCAAAAAATAAGAAAAAAAAAAAAACTCTTAACTGTGGATTATGAATGTGATACCCTGTCCCACGTCAAAATAGTGAAGTGTTATAAACCAATACTTAATTAGAATCTAGGCGCTCAAATCCAACTTGGGATATTCATTTTGGACTAGTAAGAACAAAGTTCAAATAGTTGGACTTGACTATTGAAACTTTGGTTCCATTTTGGACTAATGAGCATGGAGCCTAAATAGTTGGACTTAATTGCTGAGACTTTGATTGTGTCATGGGCTCTGGGTGTGACAATGAAAACTTTGCTTTATATATTTTTTTAATAGGTTTCTTTTAAGTTGTGTCTATTGCCTATTGGCTATTATGGCTATGCAGTTTTCAATCCATATATTGACTAGGCCAATAATTCATGAAAATTTTGTTGTAGGGAAAGAAACTGAAAATAAAAGTTAGTTTGACTAATTATTCTGTTGTATGAAAAGTCTAAAGATTCAACTGTGTCTTGGATTGGGATTTTCATCCACGCAAAGCCTAAAAAAAGAAGAGTGAATGTGATTCCCCGTCACACATCGAAATAGTGATGTGTTATAAACCTCTATTTATATAGAGTTTAAACATTCAAATCTAACTTGGAATATCCATTTTGAGCTAGAGAGGATAGAGCCTAAATAGTTGAACTTGGCTGTTGAGATTTTGGTTGCATCATGGGCTTGCGAGCCTGGGCCGTGACAATAAAAACTTTGATTTATTTTTTTTAACGGGTTTCTTTTAAATGACGTCTATTGCCTGTTGGTGATAAGTGAATATTTAACGTACATTTTGTACAAATTTGGCATGAATTTTTGGTATGTTTTGAGAAGATTAAAGCCATATTTGAACTCTTTTGGTGATAATTGCTTAAATATTGTTTAAGGATTCCAAAATTGATATATGACTGGATTAATGCGTTAATTTTGTGAAATTGTGAAGGTAATTGATGTATGAAATTCATGCACAAGCTGAAAGAAATGTAAGGGTCATCCAGAGGACAAAGTACACAAGAAATTGGGAGCAAAAATGTAGAAAAAGAGAAGAAGTGAAAAACTGGAAAATTGCTCAACATAGATCCGAGTTTGGATCCGTGTGTACAAGAGAGATCCGAACCCTCGTCTGTACTTCTGGCGGAGTGTATCCGAAGTCAGGAAGATCCGACCTCGGATCCATCATGAAAAGTCCTCGGATCCACAGATTCGAGCGCGGATCTGTTTTCACTCCTCGGATCCATGGCTCGGATCTACCTCTCTCCTCAGCAAGTGGCACAGTCGTTTTTCTTTACCTTTCTCACAACTTTTCCAGCTATTTTGAGGGATAGAAATCGGTGGCATATGCTTCTGCAACAAAAGAGAAGACCAAATGAGTGTAGACAAAAAAAAACATCATATCTTTGACTTCTTTTTACAAAATCTGAGTGAAGGAAATTATGAAAGAGAAAAATATACTTTCTACCACTTTTTATGCAGAAACACAAAAAAGAGGTGAGGGCATTACCATACGTAGCTAGTTTTCCTTCTTGTAACTAGTTTTCTCTCTAGCTAAGAGTTCTTGGAGAAGCATTGTTGGAGTTTTTCACTTGTAATCATATTGTGCAAGAGCATAGCAGGAATTGGAGAGCTTCACCTTCAATTGGCTAAACTTTCTTTTATCTTTCTTATACTTGTACTTTATGATGTTTTGCATTAATAAACTTGTGATTGTGATTGTTAAATCATTCATGAGTAGCTAATTTTCTTTATCTAGGGAGTAGATGAAACTTATGGCTAAATAATATGAATTGAATGTGATTTACACTTGTTATATCTTGTATTAACTTGTCTACTTGTGTAGCTGTGATTACTTGTTATTGATTGATCACCAATAGCTTGTTTATAGTTGTTATTGTTCAAAGAGAATTGGTAATAACAATGGAAACACATGAGTAGAGATTGAGTTGTATATTCATGAAAATAGAGATATACTTAGGTGAATTATTTAGCATTTCATGAAATAAAACGGAGTAGTAATAGTATTTCACCATGAAAATAGGGAAATCTATATTGCTCTAGGCCATTTCATCATGAAAATGAGACTTGGTAATTTTGGAAATGAATCTCTGGTTAAACAAGAATAATAGCAAGAAGTAAATCCATCATTAGTGTTGTTTATGCCATAAGTGGAATCTACATCCTTAGAATCTTTCTTAAGTGAAATTTCTCTATTTGCATTCAGCATTTGTTAAACTAGATTTGTATATCAGATTTGTAGACTACAGCATTATACTTTCTCTGCTCAAATTAATTGTAAGTCTAAATAATAGAGAAAACAAGGGTTTAGTAATTGTTTAAATTGCTCCTCGTGGGATCGACCCGATACACATCTTGTACTACAATTGCGACCAGTATACTTGCAGTCCAACGGGTGTAAAATCAGAATTAAACTTGCATTGATATAAAAATTCCGTCAAGTTTTTGGCGCCGTTGACGGGGAACAACAATATTAGGGCCTAATCATCTCTATTAATTTAGATATTTTCATTGTTTTTATTCAAGTTGTTGAATTAAAACTGCAAAATTTCTCTTGTTTTTGTTTGTAGTATATGCACCGGGCGTCTCTAGAAGTTGTACTTTTCAATCCAGAAATTGAGAGGACACTACATAGACAAAGGAGGAACACACTACAGGAAGAGGAATAAGGGATTTGGCAACCAATAGAGGAAATCTTAATAGAGCTTCCATTTGAAGAAGAAATGGCAGAAAATGAAGCAAATAGACGAGTTCTACGAGATTTTACTCTACCAGGAACACAAGGATCTCAAACGAGCATAGCAAGGCTTTCGGTAAATGCTAACAACTTTGAGATTAAACCATCACTTATCCAAATGGTTCAACAATCTCAATTTGGAGGTAATGCAGTAGAAGATCCTAATACACACTTAGCTACATTCTTGGAAATTTGTGATACAATTAAAATGAATGGAGTTAATGATGATGCTATAAGGCTAAGATTGTTTCCATTTTCATTGAGAGATAAGGCCAAACTTTGGCTACACTCTCATGCTCCTAATACTTTCACCGGATGGGATGATTTATCAAGAGCATTCTTAAATAAGTATTTTTCACCAGGTAAGACTGCTAAACTTAGAATGGATATCACTAGTTTTAGCCAATTAGAAGGTGAATCATTATATGAGACATGGGAAAGGTTTAGAGATTTGTTTTGAAAATGTCCACATCATGGACTGTCGGAGTGGTTAATCATACAAGCCTTCTATAATGGTTTAGTTTTTTCTACTAAAACTATGATCGATGCAACTGCAGGTGGAGCTTTAATGGGTAAATCACCCCAAGAAACTCATAATTTGATAGAAAAAATAGCAGCAAATAACTACCAATGGGCCAATGAGAGAGGTAATACAAGATGTCACGCAGGTATGATAGAAATGGACACTCTCAATATGCTGAGTGCTCAAATGAATAATGTGATGAAGTTGCTAAGTAGATAAGGTGGAGTTGGTCCAAATTCATCTAATGCACATGTAGCATGTTGTTCTATATGTGGAGGTGAACATGATACTAATGAGTGTATTGATTTTGAGCAGGTATAATTCGTCAATAATTACAATCGTAATGCTCAAAATAACTCCTACTCGAATACTTACAATCCGGGGTGGAGAAATCATCCAAATTTTGGATGGAAGGATCAAGGAAATCAACCAAGACCAACCAATCCATCGGGATTTCAATCAAGGCAACAAGTTGAAACTAAATCTGGTTGGGAGATGGCAGTGGAAAAACTCGCAAAAGTTATTTCGGACAGATTTGAGCGAGTAGAAGGAAGATTAGACCAACTCACTACAATGTACAGGAATGTAGAGGTCCAAATTGGTCAAATTGCTAGTTCTTTGAATAATCGTAATCAAGAAAAATTACCTAGCAAAATGGGGATAAATCCTAAGGAGCATGTCAAAGCCATTACTCTTCGTAGTGGTAAGCAATTAGAAGATCCTCCAGTGATGGAAGTTGAGAAAGATGAGAATGAAAAACAAGAAGAAAAACAGAGGAACCAAGAGGCGATAGTGGAAGAAAATAGCCGGGAGAAATCAAGAGAAAATTAACCATCATCTTCCGCTACCATTCCAATACCTCCTGCAGTTCCATTTCCACAAAGATTAAAGCAGAATAAGTTTGATAGGAATTTTGAAAAATTTGTTAAACTTTTCAAACAATTGCACATTAACATTCATTTTGCCGATGCTATTTTACAGATTCCATCTTATGCAAAATTTCTCAAGAAAATCATGACTAGAAAAAGGAAGTTGGAAGACTGCGAAACAATAGCATTAACTGAGGAGTGTAGTGCAATTATACAAAATAAGCTACCACCGAAATTGAAGGATCCAGGAAGTTTCTCTATACCTTGCATCATAGGTAACATTGATTTTTCTAAAGTATTGTGTGATCTTGGTGCTAGGGTATCATTGATTCCTCTAACGGTGGCTAGACAATTGGGTTTGAAGGAGTTTAAAAGCACTAATATTACTTTGCAACTAACGGACAGGTCTATTATATATCCACTAAGAGTGTTGGAAAATGTATTGAAAAAAGTTCAAAAATTTATCATTCCAGTGGATTTTGTGGTGTTAGATATAGAAGAAGATGTATCTATGCCAATTATTCTTGATAGACCATTTTTAGCTACTGCAGGTACTATTATTGATGTTAAAAATGGCAAACTGAAATTTCAAGTAGGTGAAGAAGATGTAGAGTTTAATTTGCATGAAATGGAAAAATACCCTTCTTTTACCGATCATGCATATTCTATTGGCACAATTGATAAACTAACTCAAGAGATGAGCCAAGTCAATTTTGACTTTGATCCTCTTGAATATTGTTTAATGAGTTTAGGAATGCAAGAAGGAGATTGTGGGGAGATTGAAGAATTGGTCAAATATTTGGATTTTCAAGCACCTTATAAAAGGGGTAATTTGTATGAAAGTCTTGGCCAAGGAAAAGGGCTTTCACCACCTTCAGAAATTGAACCTCCAAAACTAGAGCTCAAACCACTTTCAACTCATCTAAGGTATGAATTTCTTGAAAAAAATAGTACTTTACCTGTAATTGTTAGTGCTGACCTTGATGATGAGTAGTGCAGAAAGTTGTTTAAAAGTTCTAAGGAAGCATAAGAAGGCAATGGAATGGACAATTGCAGACATTAAAGGTATAAGTCCTTCTATATGCATGCATCGTATTTTATTGGAGGACAATTGCAAACCAGTGGTGGAAACACAAAGAAGATTCAATCCAAACATGAAAGAGGTAGTAAGAAATGAAATTCTTAAGTGGCTTGATGCAGGTATAGTTTTTCCTATCTTCGATAGTGTTTGGATTAGTCCAATTCATGTGGTACCAAAGAAAGGTGGAATAACTACAATCGTCGGTAAAAATGATGAATTGATTCCATCTAAACTTGTGGTAGGGTGGAGAGTGTGTATTGATTATCGTAAGTTAAATACGGTAACAAGAAAAGATTATTTTTCCCTACCATTTCCTGATCAATTTTGGAGCGAATAGCCGGATATGAATTTTACTGTTTTTTTGATGATTTTTCATGATATAATTAAATAGCTATAGCTCCAGAGGATCAAGAGAAGACCACATTTACATGTCCTTATGGCACTTTTGCCTTTAGAAGGATGTCATTTGGTTTATGCAATGCGCCTGCAACTTTTCAACGTTGCATGATGGCTATATTTTCATATTATATTGAGAAAATTATGGAGATATTTATGGATGATTTTTCTGTGTATGGTTCATCTTTTGACCATTGTCTTCATAATTTGGAATTGATTTTGTAGAGATGCGAGGAAACAAATCTTGTACTGAATTGGGAGAAATGTCATTTTATGGTAAAAGAAGGAATTGTCTTAGGACACAAGATTTCCTCCATGGGAATTGAGGTGGATAAAACCAAAATAGAAGTTATCGAAAAATTGTCACCTCCAAGCAATGTCAAGGGGATAAGGAGTTTTTTAGGACATGCTGGCTTTTATAGACGTTTTATTAAAGATTTTTCTAAAATAATAAAGTCATTATGTGATTTATTATGTAAAGATACCCCTTTTCAATTTGATGACAATTGTTTGGTTGCATTTGAAAGGTTGAAGAAGGAATTGATTTCGGCCCCAATTATAATTTCACCTGATTGGTCACTACCATTTGAATTGATGTGTGATGCAAGTGATTATGCGGTTGGAGCAGTTTTGGGACAAAAGAAAGAAGGACGATTGCATGTCATTTACTATGCTAGCAAGTTGCTAAATGAGACACAACTCAATTATGCAACGACAGAAAAAGAGCTATTGGCAGTGATATTTGCTTTGGATAAATTTAGATCCTATTTAGTAGGATCTAAAGTTATTATATATGCTGACCATTCAGCTCTTAAATATTTGCTACATAAGAAGGATGCAAAACCTAGACTAATTCGGTGGATTCTTTTATTGCAGGAATTTGATGTGGAGATAAAAGACAAAAAAGGATTGGAGAATCTAGTTGCAGATCATTTATCACGTTTGGAATATATCCCAATCAAATATCAGGTTCCAATTCAAGAGAATTTTTCAGATGAGTTTGTCCTAGCACTTAGAAATTCTCCATGGTATACAGATTTTGCTAACTACTTGGTCAGTGGAGAGATTTATCATCAAAAGAAGAAATTCTTACATGATGTCAAAAGTTACTTTTGGGAGGAACCATTGCTATATAGACATTGTGCCAATGGTATGATACGAAAATGTATTCCTGAAGATGAGGTACATAATGTTTTATATCATTGTCATAACCTTGAAACAGGTGGTCATTTCAGTACTTCAAAGACTGTGGCAAAGGTATGGCAATCAGGATTTTATTGGCCAACTATATATCGAGATGCTAGAGAATATGTTAAAAATTGTGATGCATGCCAAAGAACTGAAAATATATCTCAAAAAAATGAAATGCCCCTGACTACATTCTTGAAAGTTGAGTTATTTGATGTATGGGGTATTAATTTTATGGGACCATTTCCTAGTTCTTTTAATAATAAGTACATCTTAGTAGCAGTAGATTATATTTTTAAATGGGTAGAAATAATCGCTTCACCTACTAATGACTCTAAGATTGTATTTAGATTCCTTAAAAAGAATATTTTTAGTAGATTTGGTATACCCAATTCCATAGTGAGTGATGAAGGGAAACATTTTTGTAACAAATAATTGGATTCCTTATTGTTTAAATATGGTTGTAGGCACAAGACGGCACTTCCATATCATCCTCAAGCCAATGGACAAGCAGAGCTAGCTAATAGAGAGATAAAGCTCATTTTGGAGAAAACTGTGAATAAATCCTTCTAAATTGATAAGTTTTGGGATGAGAAGGCCATAAAATTGACTATGTGATTTACTTATTTGTGAAATTAGGATAGAATGCGAGAATTGATTTGAATTTGTTGAAATTAAGGCATAATTATTTTTTATTTAATAGAAGATTATGAGTATTTAGTATAATCTGAGAAATGACATAATGATTGGTTTCTAAGTTTTTGAGGAATTAAATTTAACAAAAGTACGTGTATTGTTTTATCTATTGAACAATTGAAGTAAGTTTTGTGTAAAATTGCTTGAGGACAAGCAATGATTCAAGTGTGGGGGAGTTTGATAAGTGAATATTTAATGTACATTTTGTACAAATTTGGCATGAATTTTTGGTATGTTTTGAGAAGATTAAAGTCATATTTGAACTCTTTTGGTGATAATTGCTTAAATACTGTTTAAGGGTTCAAAAATTGATATATGAGTGGATTAATGCGTTAATTTTGTGAAATTGTGAAGGTAATTGATGTATGAAATTCATGCACAAGCTGAAAGAAATGTAAGGGTCATCCAGAGGACAAAGTACACAAGAAATTGGGAGCAAAAATGTAGAAAAAGGGAAGAAGTGAAAAACTGGAAAATTGCTCAACACAGATCCGAGCTCGGATCCGTGTGTACAAGAGAGATCCGAGCCCTCATCTGTACTTCTGGCATCCGAGGTCAAGAAGATTCGACCTCGGATCCATCATGAAAAGTCCTTGGATCCACAGATCCGAGCGCGGATCTGTTTTCACTCCTCGGATCCGTGGCTCGGATCTACCTCTCTCCTCAGCAAGTGGCACAGCCATTTTTCTTTACCTTTCTCACAACTTTTCCAACTATTTTGAGGGATAGAAATCGGTGGCACATGCTTCTGTAACAAAAAAGAAGACCAAATGAGTGTAGACAAAAAGAAACATCATATCTTTGACTTCTTTTTACAAAATCTGAGTGGAGAAAATTATGAAGGAGAAAAATAGACTTTCTACAATTTTTTATCCAGAAACACAGAAGAGAGGTGAGGACATTACCATACGTAGCTAGTTTTTCTTCTTGTAACTAGTTTTCTCTCTAGCTAAGAGTTCTTGGAGAAGCATTGTTGGAGTTTTTCACTTGTAATCATATTGTGCAAGAGCATAGCAGGAATTGGAGAGCTTCACCTTCAATTGGCTAAGCTTTCTTTTATCTTTCTTATACTTGTACTTTAAGATGTTTTGCATTAATAAACTTGTGATTGTGATTGTTAAATCATTCATGAGTAGCTAATTTTCTTTATCTATGGAGTAGATGAAACTTATGGCTAAATAATATGAATTGAATGTGATTTACACTTGTTATATCTTGTATTAACTTGTCTACTTGTGTAGCTGTGATTGCTTGTTGTTGATTGATCACCAATAGCTTGTTTATAGTTGTTATTGTTCAAAGAGAATTGGTAATAACAATGGAAACACATGAGTAGAGATTGAGTTGTATATTCATGGAAATAGAGATATACTTAGGTGAATTATTTAGCATTTCATGAAATAAAACGGAGTAGTAGTAGCATTTCACCATGAAAATAGGGAAATCTATATTGCTCTAGGCCATTTCATCATGAAAATGAGACTTGGTAATTTTGGAAATGAATCTCTGGTTAAACAAGAATAATAGCAAGAAGTAAATCCATTCATTAGTGTTGTTTATGCCATAAGTGGAATCTACATCCCTAGAATCTTCCTTAAGTGAAATTTCTCTATTTGCATTCAGCATTTGTTAAACTAGATTTGTATATCAGATTTGTAGACTACAGCATTATACTTTCTCTACTCAAATTAATTATAAGTCTAAATAATAGAGAAAACAAGGGCTTAGTAATTGTTTAAATTGCTCCTCGTGGGATCGACCCGATACACATCTTGTACTACAATTGCGACCTGTATACTTGCAGTCCAACGGGTGTAAAATCGGAATTAAACTTGCATTGATATAAAAGTCCCGTCAGTTGGCTATTATGGCTATGTAGTTTTCAATCTACGTTTTGACTAGGCCAATAATTCAAGAAAATTTTGTTGTATGGAAAGAAATTGAAATTAAAAATTACTTGACTAATTATTCTGTTGTATAAAAGGTCTAAAAACTCAAGTCTAACTTGGGATATCTATTTTTGGCTAGCGAGAATGGAACCCAAATAGTTGGATTTGGCTGCTAAGACTTTGATTGCTTTATTGGCATGTTGGCTCGGAGTATGACAATGAAAACTTTGGTTTATTTTTTTGAATGGGCTTCTTTTAAATGACGTCTATTTCCTATTGGCTATTATGGCTAGGTAGTTTTTAATCCACATTTTGACTAGGCCAATAATTCATGAAATTTTTGTTGTATGGAAAGAAACTGAAAATAAAAGTCAGCTTGACTAATTATTCTATTGTATGAAAAGTCTAAAAATTCAATAGTGTCTGGCATCTAACAATTATCATGGCAACTAGATATCTTACATATGTAAAACCTAAGGGCACGTTCGTGGTCTAATCTTTTAATAGAATTTTAGTTAAATTTTGTTCATTTACAGTTTTCAAGTTGGAATATCTCAACCTTAATCATCAAGGCTAGTTCATGGCTAGATGCAACCTTGGTTCATGTTTTGGATATTTTTATAATACAGGCAAAAGGAAGAGTTCCATATAGTTTATACTAATAAGGCAGTACAAATACTAATTTTTATTGAAGGTCATGAGCCAAAAGTATTATCAAAACCATAAAACATTGAAGAACAGAAG